AGAAAGACTGGAGGAGCTTTTAAACTAGATAATGGGGGGGAGGGCATAAAAATACTAAATTTAAGTTATAAAAACCCTAAAATAAATTCAAATAATAAAGAGGAAATTATTAAAGGGGTAATTAGTGGGCTCACTCTAGTCACTAGTGCAAAAGCAGTGAATATAGTAAATCCGATAGCCATAAATAATATAATTAAGCCTGGCCAGCCACTATCAAGTAAACCATTGTCCCATAAGACAGGAATTAAATGTATGTAAACCAACGTGAGAAGTCTGGCAAATAAATTAGAAGAGCTTGAACTTATGATGCTCGAGGAGGACTTCGATATAGTGAGAATAGCGGAAACCTGGCTAGACAGCGCACATGATTGGGCCACCAATATAGAGGGGTACAACCTGTTCAGGAGGGACAGAGGTGGGAGAAGGGGGGGGTATGCATTTATGTTAATAATCTAAATATGCATATAAGGGATGATATCACGTGAAACAGTGGGGAGGACGTGGAATCCTTATGGCTAGAACTGGATACAACGGACGTAAACTTTTATTGTGGGTATTTGTTATAAACCTCCAAGTATAGGGGAGGAGGGGGAGGCTCATCTATGGTCCGAAATAGAAATAGCTGGGAGGGAGGGCAATGTAGTCGTGATGGGCGATTTCAGGCCCGGGCTGGTAGGACAAAAACCCATAATTTCAGAAAGGCCAACTTTGATAGACTGCGCCACCTAGTGGGGGACATAAAATGGGAAAATTTATTTCATAAACTGAACTCGGACCAAAAGTGGGAATGTTTTAAAAACACATTACATATGGCCATTGCCAAATGTATACCATTGGGTAATAAAAGTAAAAGATCAAACAAAACCTGTATGGCTGAATAAAAATGTAAAGCATCACATATAGGAAAAGCGAATGGCTTTTATAAAATATAAGATAAGAGGGGACAGCATTGGCGTTCCAGGACTACAAAGAAAGCAACAAAAGATGCAAACTAGCAATATGGGCGGCTAAAATAGAGTGTGAAAGACACATTGCCACAGATAGTAAAAAAACAAAAACAAAATATTTTACCAATATATAAACAGTAAAAAGGGGAGAAAGGAGCAGATAGGCCCAATAAAGGACGAAAGCGGGAAGTTAGTCACAAATGACAAGGAGAGGGGCAGAAGTACTGAACTCTTTCTTCTCAGTATACACTCAGGAGGCAAACTGGTTTGACATTCATGATAAAACACTTGGCTATATTTTGTGATGAACTAAGTGGTTGACGGAACCCAGGATATAACAAATACTTTAGTCTACTTAATGCAAATAAAGCATTGGGACCGGATAATTTACACCCCAAGATACTTAAGGAACTAAGCCAGGTTATAACTAGACCATTATTCCTCATTTTTAAAGGACTCTCTAATGACTGGTAGAGTTCCGAGTGACTGGCGGAGGGCTACGGTAGTTCCAATTTTCAAAAAGGGGGCAAGATGCCAACCTGGGAATTACAGGTCAGTTAGTCTCACATCGGTAGTGTGCAAACTGCTAGAGGGAATGATTAAAGACTATTTAGTAGAAATTGTTCCGGATAATGGTATAGTTAGTGATAATCAGCACGGGTTTAGGAAAGACCGTTCCTGTCAGACTAACCTACTGACTTTTTACGAGGGGGTAAGTAGAGATCTGGATGGAGGGAGGTCTGTGGATGTTGTATATCTGGATTTCGCTAAGGCTTTTGATACGGTACCTCATAAACGCTTACTATACAAGCTGCGGTCTATGGGCATAGATGGAAGGGTGTGTACATGGATAGAGAACTGGCTAAAGGAACGGGTACAGAGAGTATCAATAAATGGCGCCCTCAGACTGGGCTAGTGTCATTAGCGGTGTGCCTCAGGGTTCGGTGCTGGGACCGATGCTTTTCAACCTGTTTATTAACGACATCGGGGACGGAGTACACAGCGATATCTCAGTGTTTGCTGACGATACCAAAATTGGGAGGGTAATAGAAACAGACCAAGATAGTGTAACATTGCAGGAGGACCTGGATAAAATAGGGG